GTCATCGCTTCTGTTCTGGGAAGAAGTCACCAAATAAGGATACATTGCTCATATATGGAAAATGGTAGAGTCATCGCTTCTGTTCTGGGAAGAAGTGACGTCATTGCTGTGTTCTTGAATAAATTCATCTCGTGCTAAAAGAATGATCATCACGTAGAAACGGCTGACAGTTCCCCATCTTCGACAGTTTTGGCAAGCAATCCGCTCTAAAACATTTCCAGTTTTCCCCCATAAAAGTAGTAAAGATTACAAACAATAAATAACTTTCAGAGCTGCTATATTAGCTCTTCTGAACTATTGTTTTATAATGAGGTCATCGACCCGTGAAGCAAAATTTGGCGTAAAGTGTGTTAATCGCCCTTTTCACAGTGAAAGAAAGTTGCATGGGGGACCCAAAGTATTGCACGAAAGCAAGTCAGGATCGGTCAACAACCGTAGTCCTTTTCAGCTTGCTTGTCTTTTTTGCAATTTTAAGAATTAAATATTTTTTTAATGGCAGGAAACGTCATGATTTTGACATTTGAAGGCTGCAGAAAACACGTTACTCGATTTTGCTTCGCTTTGGTCTTATTATTTCAGGGTTTTTCCATCACCATAATGTCAAAAATATGAAATTCGAAAAGAAAATGAAATTTGAAAAAATAATTTTTCRTTAATTTTTCGAGAACAAAGGTGGTATTTTCTTTTGATGTCATACCTACATAAAACATTTGCTTCTAGGGGCAGTCATGATAGCGAAAAAATATCGAGCGTAGATCATTCGCAAAGACTCATGGGATAGATTCGTGCAATTAATCAACAGCACGCGTGGTATTTATTAATTGCACGAATTAAGAAACGATTCACGGTTTGTCAATCAGAATCGAGAATTTTATGTAGATATAATATTAACGGAGTAGTTTCTTGGTAGCGATACTGCGTAACTGGTTGTTTAACATAGACCGGACCTATCTCCTTAGTAACCTAATAAGAGATTATGTCAATGCCAATTGTTAGTGGTCCTACTGCCATAGTGCAATTTCACTGAGCATAAAGCACACACTTAAACAGAACTCTTGAGCGGCTAAGCTTGCATGGCATGTCAGTCTGTATAAACAAAAGCAACCAAGTATACGSCTAGCTTAATAAAATAAGCTAATAGTACAATACAACGAGTGACAATTCTTCGTCGTCAAAATGACTGCYKGCAGCTGGATTAACTTTATCGCTCTAGGTGCACTTTTTCTATCGATTTTCAAATTTTTACAAGCCAACGACACTCGAAACTTTGTAGTAATTTTGAGCTCACGTCTAACATCAAATGAGTCAGGTATTATATTGGAAAGAAAGCAAGTTGAAAATCAAATGAACTGTGGGCAATGGTGCTTAMGAACAACAAATTGTCGCTCATTCAACTTGGAAAAAGACACTGGACAACTAGAGCAAGAATGCGAGCTTCTTTCTATAGATAGAAACCAAAGACAAGAACTTGTAAAAGAAAACAACTACTATGATCACTATACGACAACGGTAAGTCAGTTACAAAATATTTTCACGTGTTTAGCGCAGACCGGTCAGTATCAAATTTGTTTTTGCTCACATTTTATTGATGTAACAGCCAGCCTCAGTCACCGGCGAAACGTCCTGCGATTATTTTTTGACGATGAACACAACCTACATTGGTGAATGTTATGCATTCCTTCCAGCCAATGCTCTCATATCCTTTAGCAGCTATCATCAAAAAGATTTATGAAAGATTCAAGACTGTTACTTTTAAATCTTTTATAAAGGTGTTGCGCRCATCAGACAGAAATTTTATGTATCACCTGGGGATGGGCGTGAATTATTACAGAGATGTAGTTGATCAAGCTCTTTCTTTATACTTAATCGTATAACAATGAAATAGTCGATAGCGAGAGATTCATTTATTAATTATTTCATTTACTGTAAGAAGATRTAAAAAAGAAAACATTCTGAAAGTATATTGTGTTTTGGTAGTTGCATGTAATCCAGGGTGAAAACGAAATGTTTGTTGATGTGCTTGGATTTATGCATCCTACTGTTTAATAATTACCTTTACGAAACAACAAATGTAACATACACCATAGAKATCGAAAAATAGGTGAATTCAACTATATTGATAGAATGTTTCAAAATATTCTGATCATTGATTCTTTTTCGATCGTTGATTCGATAATATCAATCTTTCAAATTAAGACAATGTCAATAGGAGCCATCCACACCGGATTAACATCATTTGTTTTATTCTTATTCTCATCTTTTTTGTACACCTGCCATTTCATAGATGTTAATTATAGATACTAGTACGATATAACTGTCAAAGGACCCTAACAGTGATAACTGAGAGCTCATGAATGAMTTGTTCTTGTCGTAAAATTGATTTAGTATTATTCAATTAGCCCGGGTAAGATTATTGAAAAACGAACAATTGTTCACTTGAAAATTGATTTAATAACTATACGTCAAACGAAATCATAGTCAAATTTAATGACAGGAAAACCGATGCAAAGATAACCYACAGTTATATCCCAGKTACATATCTAAGAGGTTTCATGAGTACGACTGAGGCTGATTTCACGCGTTCACACTTGATGAAGAAGTTTGACAAAAAATAGTCTTGCATTGCATTRTATTGTACTTTGTTGYATTGTGTTGACAGGAAGCATGTACGATACAACGAAAGAAAAGTAAACGCCGGGGCATATGTGTTTTTGCATACATCATCTTGATGGGCGCAAGGCCAGAAAACTTCATTAAGTTATGGAAATGCTCCTTCCTTTGTACAAGTGTCTTGTAAACAAAGTCCTAGAGAAGTCAATTGAAAAATTTCCGAAATTTAACCCAGTTTTTAGAATGAAGTCAGTTTTTTTGTCATAACACAGGATCCATGTGACCAGCTGTCCTGTTTGAACGGTGGTACATGCAGAATGACGTTATCTGGCTATTGGTGCGCATGCCAACCGAGTTATTTGGGTGAACATTGTGAAAGTAAGTGCTACAATGTATCATGACAAATCTTTGTATTCTTATCACCTCTATCATTGTCTTTTTAGTCCCAGAGGAGTGTGTTAAGCATAAAAGCCTCTCCGAGGCCGACCGCAACATAAACAACGGCATTGGTTCAAGAAAATGCGACAACAAATTAAGTGGCTGGCACAGATTTGTGGGTCCCGCGGGATCCCATATGCTTGACAACTGTCCCTCGGGTAAGAAATGTAACACAGATTTCCAAGGATGGATAGATAGCCAGCCGAAGCCTGGAGAAACACGTGTAGCAAAAAAGGTCTGTTTACAAGGAAACAACAAATGCTGTAACTGGCCTAAAGATATTCTCACTACACATTGTGGTGATTTCATCGTTTATAACCTTCATAAAACGAACTGTTATATTCGTTTCTGTGGCGAGAACTGACTTGARCTACGTCTGCTTAAACGCAAAGACTGACGCAACGCCAATAACGGTCGATGTCCTTTTGAGAAGTCAATAAAACACTATTTCCGAAGCACGACACGAATAGATGTACAACACAATGCCGTCACATTGCCACATTCCCARCGCGAAACCGCCTTTGCTGACACACAGACGCGACACCCAAGAACCAGGGACTTAGTGCGACCTCATCTTTAAGTGGCACTGGAGAACAGTCAAATATGCAAGAAGCAACAAATGAGAAAGCTTTAAAAGCCTCGAGGATACGACGAAGGAAGCACGGTTTTGTGAACAATCATTTATTATTAGAAATGATTATTTAATTAGTAAATGTAC